ACAGTCTAAGGTTAAAGTTTTGGGGGTTTGGGGAAGAAACCACAGAGTCAGGTAGAGTATTCCAGACATTGACCACTCTGTTGCTGAAGTCGTATTTCCTGCAATCAAGTTTTGTGCGATTAACCTTGAATTTGTATCTATTGTTTGTTCTTGTATTGTTATGGTTGAAGCTGAAGTATTCATTGACAGGTAGGACATTGCAATGTATGATTTTATATACTATACTTAGATTGGACCAAAGGCGGCGTAGTTCTAGGTTTTCTAGGTCTAGAATTTCAAGTCTGGTGGCATAAGGTATTCTGCAATGAGTAGAGGAGTGGAGAACTCTTCTTGTGAAATATTTCTGGACTTTCTCAACTGTGTTAATATCAGATACATAATGTGGGTTTCAGACTGATGAGCTGTATTCGAGTATTGGTCTAGCAAATGTTTTGTATGCTCTAGTTAGTAGTGTAATATTACCAGAGAAAAGGCTACATAAGATTAGGTTAACAACTCTTAATGCCCTTTTCGATATGTAGTTACAGTGGGCTCTAGCACTTAGATCATTAGAGATGAGTATTCCAAGGTCCTTTACAGAGTTTGGATCATCAACAAGGTCTTGACTATTTAGCCTGTATTTTATTTTCTGATTTTTTTTGCCAATATGTAGGACAGAGCATTTATTTGTTGAGATTTGAAGTTGCCATTTGTTTGACCATTCTGATACATAGTCAAGGTCTTTTTGAAGGGTAGCAGTATTGTCTATGGTGTTCAATAGCTTTACATCATCAGCAAAAAATATGCAGTTGCTCTTAATATGATCACAGAGATCATTTATGTAGAGTATGGTCCTAAAACACTGCCTTGGGGGACACCACTGTTGACAGGTACAGAATTTGATAGGATGCTCCCAATTTTGACCATGTGTTGTCTGTTTGACAGGAATGCTTCTATCCAGTTATGCAGGTGTCCAGAGATACCGTAAGATTTTAGTTTTAGGAATAGTTTGGCATGTAGCACTGAATCAAAGGCTTTACAGAAGTCTATGTAGATTGCGTCTATTGCTTTGCCCTGATCGAGTTGTGTCGTCCATATGTTTTTGCAGTGTAAGAGTTGCAGATTACAGGATAGTTTTCTGAAATCAAATTGTTTATTAGAGAGTAGGTTGTTTGTCTCTAAGTGGAGGATGATGGATTGGTTAATAATTGATTCCATGACTTTACAGGTGACGCAGCATAAAGAGATTGGTCTGTAATTTTCAACTAGGCTGGGGTCTCCCTTTTTGAAGATGTGGATAGCCATGGCTTGTGACCATAGTTTTGGCAAGGAGCTGGTCCTGAAAGATTTTTCAAAGATTATGCTTAGAGGTTCTGCTATGGCAGTGGATAGCTTTTTTAAGAAGTAGGCACATATTCCATCCGGTCCAATAGATAGAGATGGTTTTAGATTGCATAGTGATGTTTCAACATTGTCTTCTCTAAAATCGATATGTATTAGATCATTGTAGTTGTCTGTGGTTCGACTAGGAAATCCTGGGCATGATCCATTGCTGTTTACAAATACTGAGCCAAAGAATGTGTTAAAGAGGTTGGCTTTAATGGTGTCGTCGTTGCAGTCTTTACCATTAGGTCCTTTCAGGGGTGGGATGGACCTTGAGTCTTTTAGTTTGTTGTTTACAAAATTGTAGTAAGTACAGGTGGAATTGGTGCGTAGAAGGTTTTCTTTTTATTTAATGTGATAATTGGTGCATTCAGTTTTTATCTGGTGGCATAAATTTTTGTATCAGCTTTTGAAGTTGGCAACATCACCAGCTTTGTTTTTCCACCAAAGTGATTTCTTTTTGGATTGAAGCTTCCTTATTGTTATGGGTAATTTGTTTTTCCTGGTTTTGGGAGTTGTTATTAGTACATATAGTTTGATGACTCTTTTGACTTCAAGTAAAAATATGTTGTAATGGTCTTCTACAGTATTGCATCCAGTTAATAGAAATTGCCAATCAAGGGATGAGAGATCGTTGTTTATAAGATCATACTTGCCTTTTTTGAAGTTATAATTGGAGATTCCATCGTTGTGATGATTTTTGTGTGGACGTATGTTGAGACAAAAGTCAATCATGCTTTGTGGCATTTCACAAAACCTTTATTGCTGGGTTTTGTGAACTTCTGATTCAGGGTATGGTTTAAGAATTACACTGGAGAATAGCTAATTAGAAATTGCATAGATGTACCCAAGTAACATAAAAGCAGAAATAGAGAAGCACACAGATGTTGCTTTTGAAATTTGAACTCCGTAGGCAGGAATCTGGGGGAAAGACTTGCAAACGATATTCAAAACAGAATGAATGAATCTCAAGAGAGGACCAAGGATATGTGTTTTAACAGGGCCAATTCTTTTAGAAAGAGAAACTGTTGTGTCAGAATAGCTTGATAGCAGAACTAATTACTGAAAGACGTAGTGGATAGGCTAAAACAGGATGCTTTAAATTGGATTTCTGCACAAATTAAAGGGTTGGATTCAACATCTAAACGGTACCTTTATGATTCTGTGGTGTGTAATGGAAGACTGGAAGCCATGTAAGTTGTTTAGATTTTTAAAAATTGTGATAATTTTTCATTTTGTGACCCTATCAGCCATCATTATACTGTAGTTTCTGAGATTCCAGATGTTGGAATCTTTTTCTTTCATGTTTACAATAAGTTCAAATTTAAAGAAAGATTGTATATAGTAAGTAGTAATAAGTTTCTACATTTGAAAAAAATAGAGACATGACATAGTAAAGCCCAAGTAAAAGGTGACATATAACTTATGCATGTGCTAGAACCTATCTGTTCTAGCTCTAGATAAAGAAACACATTCCATTCATTGATAATGACTGGCTAAATCTCTAAACTAACAAAACCTTATAAAAAGGGAGACAAGGAACAGCTCTTTGTGGGCGCCCATCAGAGGTGGTATTCAGCTGGTTCTAACCAGTTCTGGAGAACCGGTAGTGGATATTTTGAGTAGTTTGGAGAATTGGCAAATACCACTCTGACTGGAGATTTTACAGTATCCTTCCACTGCCACACCCACCAAGACACGCCCACAGAACCAGTAGTAAAAAATGTTTGAATCCCACCACTGGCGCTCATCCATAAGTATTTGAAAACTTTGGATTGGATAAATTTATAGTCTTTGACAGTGGTGGAATTCAATTTTTTTTTTTACTACTGGTTCTGTGGGCGTGGCTTGGTGGGCATGGCTGGGGAAGGATACTGTAAAATCTCCAGTCAGAGGTGGTAATTTCTGGTTCTGCAAACTACTCAAAATTTCCGCTACCAGTTCTCAAGAACTGGTCAGAACCTGCTGAATACCACCTCTGGTCTTTGACCTCTACTGATCATCTGGTGTGTTGCACTGAATTCCTGAATTAGGAAATGATCCACGGGAAAAGAAGGTGTTTGATCCTTGTGACACTGGGATAACAATTCGTTTATTGCAGAGTCCTTGGTAGTCTCCGAGTTGGTTGTTTTCTTGCAGACATTTCATTACCCAACTAAGAAATGTATCAGTGCTAGAAGGGAATGGAGTTTTCTCTGTTTATATACAAATCACTTGCCCTATCAGTGTTGGTTGGAATATTCTTGGAAATTCATTGATTAGAATATTGTTTACTTCTTTGTATTAATCTCTGCTTATCTGAGTGTTGATTGCTAGCCAACAGGTGGTTGTTTTTTTAAATGGTGTGAAGATGTTGTTTATCTCTAAGTGCCTGTTTAATGGCTGAATTAATTTATTAAATTCAATAAAACACAACTTCATGTTTACAACACACGTGTTTGCTTTCTGCAGTACTGATGTAGATCTGATTAATAAAGCAGGGCTTTAGGTGGCATATTTCAAGCTAAAGTATTCCTATCAACTTGATTCTTGAAGAAACTGTTTTGTAAGCTAACTTGAAACAGTGAGTTCTTTCTGATTTATCAAAAAAAAACAAAAACCCTCCCAATTTTGAATCAGGCATTGCCTTCCTCTGATTCCACCAACAAGCCAAAGTACAGTATAGCCATCAATGGATAGTTGTGGGAAACATTTTTATTCAACTATGGTACTAGATTTGCATTAAGGACAGGATCTTTTTTTAAAATTATTTTTACAATTTGTAGCTGTGCATAAAATACTGGAAACACTGGGCCAATCCATTCAGATATATACAAGGACTATGGCATTTTTTTTCAATTAAAATAGGTAGAGGAGCTAGTTAATACCAAGGAGGAATGGAATTCTTCCACTACTACTTGCTGGTAATGTTACACATGAACTCACGCAGTAACAGGGGAATATGGTATAGATCAGGGCTGTCAAACTGGCACCCCTCAGGTGCATCACATGCAGGCCATGCCCACCCTGGCTCTGCAAAGGCAAAAAATGTCATGATGTGTCACGTGACATCACGTGACACAATCAAGTTTGACACCCATGGTATAGATCCAAGATCCCTATCAATATCAATGGTTACTTAGTATGTGATTTTGAATCTGCTAGCAGCCAGGCTGATTGGTGACAGTTCTGCATCAATGCTCTGTAAGTTTCACTCATTATAATGCATAAGCAGTTTTAATCTACTGCTGCATCTTGATACTTACAATAGTTGCTTCAGGGGGAAAAATGAGGATTTGGTAGACAAAAATCAAGCTATATGATATTTTTCTCTTTTATTCCTGCACCAACTGATAAGTCGCTATCAGCCTCAATACTCATCATGGGTTGCATCTCTTAAAATAATGTTCAGATCAGAGGTGGCCACATTATGTTCAAGTCTATAATTTTCCCATACAATGTGAAATTAAGAGATACAAAATTGAGAAACTATTTTAGCTAAGTATACTAACCTAAGTCATATCAAATTAAACCTTTAGGGAATAGGGAGAAAAGTGGATATTAAAAGCAGAGCACCCTGCTGCTACTCCCAAGCCCATATAACAATTGAACCAAGGAAATAATATTTATTAGATAAGTAATGGAGAAACATGATTTACCTTCATTTTCTTCTCCAGGTGGATGATAAAATGAGAGCCCAAGAGATATAATGGCTGCGATTTCCAAGATGATGAGAGTCACATCCTGTAATGCTTCCCAGACTAACTGTAAGAAAGTTTTTGGCTTCTTTGGAGGTATAAAGTTTTTCCCAAAAATTAGCCTTCTTTTATCTAGGTCAGCAGTAGTGCCAGGTAATCCTACAGATCAAGGAAACATTAATAGTGAGTGACAAGTCTTTTTTTTTTTAACCACAGTTTAAAATACAACCATTTTTGCTTTTATCATTTAGCATTTATAACTAATTAGATTTCCAATTTTGTAATTTTCTTTTGGCAAACTCATTCTCAGCTAATGTATCACAGAGACTTCTGTGGATTTGTAAAGCCATTTGAGAAGCACATTTCTTCTCTAGCTTTTTCGTTAGGCAAAGAGAATCATCAAAAAGCACAGGCAAACAATCTAACTTCCGCGTATACAATATGCAGAAAAGAGGAAGCAAAACAAGAGATTAAACTAGCAAATAAATTTACAAAATTTCAACTATATTAGCAAAGTGATAGATAAAAATAGGTTCAGAATTTCCTGTCTATGGTTTTGTAACTAAGAAAAGTATTATAGGTTGCATTTATTAACATAAAATGTTACTGCTTGGTCAAGTTTTTTTCCTTTTTCTCATTCTCCCAACTAAATCCACATTCAGAGTCTTACTCAATACTATTCCAGAACTTTCCTCAAATATTAAGGGATTGCTTTGAGAGAGAAAAAGCAGAAAGGAAGACTGAAAAAAGAAATATGAGTCTTTTGAACCAAAAGTGTTTTCTATTAGTCATAAACAGATATAAAGCCACCCTGACAGTAGTAAGCATTTATATAACAGAAATGCAATATGTAATATCCAATGTATTAAGGTTGTCATGCTATACCCTAGGAATATATAACTGTTATTCTCTTTACAAATATGCCAGGAAATATGCAAAGCCATTCATTAATGTCAAGACTGAAAGAGAAACTGAAATTCAGCTGTCTTAAAGTAGTTATATTTCATCCTAATATTCATGTCAATCCAAACTCCAATTCTCTTCATATAATTAATCGTTGTCATTTCCTCTGGCTACTGCATAGTTTATTGCATAGTGCATTAAAAAACCAATCAGGAGATAAAGTGTTGATCCTACAAGGAAATGTTATTATAAACAGTTGCAGAGAAATATATTGAAGTAAGATAAACAACATGATTTCAGGGGATGTATGCTGTATATTTTAGGTGTGAGCATCTCTAAAATGGAAAATACAGGGGCAGCTGCTGGTAAGCACAACTTCTTTAAAGAACTTTAAGTAAGTGATTTGTAAGTGATGTTTATGGATCTTTTCCAATGGCAGTATCAATTAGAAATGTGGCTGCCCTTCAAAAGACATCATTTGATATTATTTTTTCCAACAAAGAGAAATCTTTGTGCTTGTATACCTCTGGATACAGTCAGGAATAGATTACAGTAAGTTAGAAAAATGTGCATCTTCTTTAATAGTTTGACAAGAAATGCTTCGTAACATTTCCACATTCAGAAACACTTTTTCCAAAGGATTTGTACAAAACTCAACATTAAGTTAGACCCATTGCTCTGAAAACAGACTACATGGAAGCTACTGCAGAAGAATGTTCATGATATTTCCAAATTAACTTTGTAAAAGTGCTGAGAAAAATTCACAGGCATATGGTAAAAAGCTGTGAGTAAACAATTAAATAAAATTGGAGTAACAAATATAATTATTATATTGCAATATATTTGGAGGTACTTAAATTGTAAGTCAATTAAAGTTTATTATAAGGCAACACAGTGTGATCATCAGTTACCCTTAGATCAGGGCCGTCAAACTCGCAGCCCGCAGGCCAGATGTATCATGCAATGGCCACGCCCACGCCCAGTTTAACAAAGGGGGGAAAAGTCCCAATATGTCATGTGATGCTACTGTGATGTGAGTTTGACACCCCTGCCCTAGATACTTGAGAAATATCAAGCTTCCTGCCCAAAAAGCATACATGCTACAAACACCAATCTCTGGCATCATCTTCATGTACCACAATGATTCTCTCCATCAACCCCCCCCCCCACCGTGTTTCTTTTCTTTTTTTTAATTTTTATTGGTTTTTAAGACTAACATAGACAAAGAAAACATGAAAACATCAAGCCATCTTCCATATATATATATATATACATACAGTGTGCCGGTTGGTTTACAAATTGTTTTGTGCTTCCATTTCGTAGTCTTCAATTACAATTACATTGTATATATTCTCATTATTTCAATCAAGTACTAAATACATTAATATCATTGTTAATCAATCATTTGACTATAGTTTTATTCATTCATGTTTTATGAATAATCATATTTTACTTAAATTGTTTTGTGACAGTTCGTATTATCATCTCAAATCTATCCTATAATCATTTTGTAGATATAATAAGAAAAGAATACATATATTTATTATTTTCTAAGAATCTACATATTTCATTACCATGTTTTATTTTCTAACCATTGATAGAATAGATCCCAGATTTTATAAAATTGTTTATCATCTTGTTCTCTGATTTCAAATGTCAATCTACTCATTTCAGCACATTCCAATATTTTCTTAATGATTTCCTCCTTTCTCATTTTTCCAATTTTTAGCAAATACAATCCTAGCCGCTGTTAATACATTTACAATCAGGTATTTCAATTCTTTACTATATATTTCAGGTAAAATTCCCAATAAAAATATCTCTGGTTTCAAATCTATATGCTTTTTTGTCATTTTTTCCAACCACGTGTGGATTTTAGTCCAATATTTTTTAGCATCCGCACAAGTCCACCACATATGGTAATATGAACCAGGTGTCTGATGACATTTCCAACATTTTTCCAATTTGTTCTTGAACATTCTTGCTATTCTTGTCGGGGGGGAATGCCACCTGTAAAACATCTTATACAAATTTTCTTTATATGCTGTTCACATTGTCATTTTATAATTTTGAGACCACAATTTTTGCCATTTCTCTAGATCAATCCCATATCCAAAATTCTTCCCCCAAGCAATCATTGTTTCTTTAACTTGTTCTTCTTCTAGTTTAATTTCTAATAAATATCCATACAATTTTTTAATCACCTTTTCATCAGTACCTGTCAAAATCTTATCTAGATCAGTCAGTTCATCATAAAAACTTTCTGTTTTAGAGTTTTTATCATACCTTGAATGTATTTGCGCATATGAAAACCAATTCATCTTTATACCTTGTTCCTCTAATTTTTGTATAGATTTAAGTTCACCCTTTTCATTCAATATTTCGCCATATCTAACTGTTTGTTCCTTTTTATATATTATAGGATAAGAAAATGCTTCAATAGTTGATAGCCAGACTGGAATTTTCAAATAGCATTGTCTTTTAGTCTTCTCCCAGTTTAACCACAGAGACTCCCATATATAATGTCTTCTAAAATACCCCTGTGATTTAGTTCCTTTATACCATAGAAAAACATGCCACCCCAACAACAGATCATGTCCTTCTAATGTCAACAATCTAGTGTTTCTTAATGTTATCCATTCCTTAACCCACATCAAATTTGTAGCTTGGTAATACAACTCCCAATTAGGCAAATCAAATCCTCCTCTTATTCTAGCATCTTGCAAAAGCTGTAGCTTTATTCTCGCTTTCTTTCCTTGCCATATATATTTCAACACGATTTTATTTAAATCTTCAAAGTAATCTTTTCCAAGCCTAATTAGAATTGTTTGGAACAAAAATAAATTTCTGGGTAGTATATTCATCTTGATTGTTGATATTCTCCCTATTAATGACAATTGTAAATTTTCCCATTTTGCCAAATCTAATGCTATCTGCTGCTTAAGTTTGATATAATTATTCTCTTTTAGTGTACTGCATCTTGCTGTCAAATGTATCCCCAAGTACTTAATCTTATTAGTTACCTGAATTTTCAATAGATCTGCCAGTTCTTCCTTTTGTCTTGATAGCATATTCTTTGTCAAGATCTTTGTCTTATCTTTGTTTATTTTCAAACCGGCCACCTTTCCATATGTCTCTATCTTTTCTATCAATTTTGATGCTGTTTCTAAAGGGTCACCCCCCCCCCCATGTTTCTTAAAAACATCCTTAAAAACTAAATTAGGTAGATGGCTGCTGCTAAGTATGCAAGAAAATAAGGCAAGATAAGCCACCCAACAAGGACGTCTCAGATTTCCACACTAAATAATTAAATAATGAATAGAAAATGATCTGCAGATATGTGCAATTTAATGGCAGTACACAGCAAATAGAGATGATAACTGGTAGTATTATTTTGCAATATGAATACACAATTCTGACTAGAATGAAAGAATTCCTCCTTTAGAAATAAAAACAAAAATTGACATCAATGAAGATTTACTGAAAAGTAGTTAAGACACAGTTTATTGATACTAATATCTTCAAGCTTTCTTCTAGCTCATAAATCTTTTAACTAATACTACCTAGTTGTCATAATTCCATGTGGTTAAGATCCAGAATTACTTAAAAGATCTGGCACAAAGCCTGGCTTGACTTTACTGTAATTCTACATGTACTTATTGAAGGGAAAGCTCAATTGAATACAAGTTTAAAATTGTGTTATTTTCCTATTATTTGGAAATATGTCAAGACAACAAGAAAGACAAAAATCATCTATCCAACTCAGTCATCTTTCTTTGGAGATCCACCACATTACAGTAACCCATAATAGTGGTTGCATCTAGGTAATCTTTTTCCACCTTTCTGATACATTTTGTTCAATGTTTGATAGATTCCCTACTATTCATTTATCTCTTCCCTTCTTTTTTCTTCTTCATGTGTCTTAATATTCTCTTTCCATTGAGTTTTACTAAGAATATATATATATTTGTCAAATGTGAAAAAGGGTGGTGTAATGAAGCATTCTGTGGAGTAATGGAAGCTCTTGAACTACCATTATTCATTTATTGACAAAGTGTCATGGAAGAATTCTTTTTAATCAGTACAGTTTTCTGAGATTGGATGTGCTTCCCCTCACAATGAAGAGATCAGCAATTCTTTTAGAATTATTTAGAGAATCTTATCAACATACTTTTTTATTTATGTTATAAAAGTTGATGTCAACTTTTAACCACCACATAGACAGCCCTTCTCTAGGATAAATGTTGTACACAATC